TCCACGTCGAAAAGGACCCTGCTAAAAAATCTAAAGTGACAACGAATACGGTAAGCAGGCGTTGTTTAAATAATTGTGCTACATTTGTCTATCGTATTTTATTAGCCATTGTTTATGTTTATGATGGAGATAACTATTTTCATTAGCCGCCTTAACTAACTCTACTCATATTCTGTTTCATGTTTGTTGTTTTGTTTCTATGTACTGTACGACGTTAAGACTCCGAATATAAGAGGCAGTCAAGTTGACATTTATTTCGTTTAATTATTTTCAGTTCCCATTAATCCGTTATTGTTGCGAAGCAGCTGCTTCAGAACGATTCTCCAGTGATTCAGGATTTGAGCCAATGTGCTAGGCTCTGTAACGGAACTGCAGGGATTCTCATCGACTTGAAATCCTTCATATATTCACGCCTTCGTTTTTTCTCTGCCCTCGGTATAAATTCTTTTTTGTTTGCAAAGAGAGTGCGCAGCGCAAGTTTCTCCTGTGGTATCTTTGTCACTTATCAAAACTACCTTAAATGAGATATCTCGATCTGGAAAAAAAGCGGAGCACAATCGATGGTATCTCAGATTGCCGCGTTCCGAAACTTCTCAGTGCAACATCATTTGAAGGAACCTTATTTCTGTCGTGTTTATACTGAATTCTACTCCTTATATCAGCATCTAGCATCCTTACGAAAGATGATTGCATTTGCTTATGCAGTCGAAGACTGTTAGCTTCACACTGCAGCTCATCTCCGTAATCATCATGGATTGTTTTAGTTCCCGCATTACAACTTTCACCTATTTGATCGGTATGCTTGTTTCCACATCTTACCTTTGATCATTTACATATCTTGCCGCATCAGCACTTAAATTTTTTACCTGTTTCGGTTGCTCGTTACTGATTCGCTATTGACCTTTTTGGAGACTATGGAAGCTTTCATTTTGATCAGTTGATCTCCACCTTTATATCATCGCATTTACAGCAAAACGATCGAGACAATTTGTTGGTCATAACAGGAGAAGATAACATTATGAAGTCATCAGTAAGCAGCAGATGACTGCATCAGACCTCTAATAATGACGCATAGCTGCCTCCCCTGAGCTACTCTGTGATCTCTGTGAATGGATGATTATACAACACAGTATTGCTGGAGATCAAAACGACCTTGAAGGGCATCATCTTCTTGCGATTAATCAGGAGACAAACTGTCAGGCAATGGAGTATAGATCTGGTCACTCACAGCTGCTGGTGATCCACCCTGTTTTGTGTTGCTTCACTGTGACCCGAGATTTTGCTCCGTACTAAATTGCTGGTTTTATTGCTGCTTCCTGTTGTACGGCATGGAGACGCTGTTGTAACGAAGGTGTACGAACGACGCTTGAATTGCGTACAGTACTGTTAGCATGGGCACATTGATTGTTAAATGACAGTAACACGTAAGAAATGACTTTTCTCTTCCGAGTACAGATAACCTTGGTAAATATAGAGGTAAAGAATAGGAGGTTGGCCCTTTTAGGCAAACTGGTTGAGCACACACCATTTATTCCAGAATATGAGCTTATCATGTGATAGCCGAAACTCGTCAGACTTCGCCTAAGAAGTCAGCATGAAGGAACGAGGTAAAGGCGTATGTTTTCAGAGACGAACATTTCCTTCTGCGATGCAGTGATACTTTATTTAAATAGCGTTGATAGACTGCGGATACAACGTACATGGCAAACCCATGACGTTCTACTCATGCAAACGGTTCAAGGATATGGTCTCAGTAAACAACTTACTTGGTTTTCACTGAGTAAAGCATTTCTTTGCTCGTTACAAAATATTCATTAGCTGCAGTTCAGTTTCGCTTTTCCTGTGCTCTACTCACGGTGTGAAAGCTTATATTGGTTTGACGCCAACACAGAATAAATTTTTTGAGTATATGAATAATAGTAAATAGACGGTTTACTTTATGCACTACGCAAAAGAGTGATCGCAGTTTCAGAGCCCAGAGGCCTATGAATTTGCGACCATTAGCAAGCGACCGGAACGACCTCTGAACTTTTAGGCCTTCTTGAAGAAGGCCCGTGAGACACAGGCCAAGAAAACATTAGTATCGGTCAGTCATCCGGTTTACCATATTTGCATTGTCTAAAATAATCTATTTTGGCTATTTTTTTGCGTGGTCACCAGCACACAAACCAAATGTTCTCTTATAAATACGTACCAAATGTTGTAAATGAATATTTTCCTAAGTAAATGTCATATCTAAGTTTGCTTTCTCTTGCAGAAAGATCCAATAGTGGAAAACTTTCGACGAGCTGTGGAACGGCAAGTGAAAGATTTACTGGCACCGTTCTACAAGAAAAGGAAAATCGATAAGGTCGAATATAAGTACATAATGCGTAAAACGGTTCCAAAGGTGTGATGGATTTCGTTCTTTTCTTACCCGCATTTTTAAATAGCTGATCTCCCATAGATTTGGAAGAAAGGTGGAAAATTGAACAGCACCAAAATTCAAACGTTCATCGAAGCGTATGTCAAAAAGGTTATTGCTATGAAGCGTCGCAAGTGAACAATGGAAACAGGAAATATGCAGCAAAATTTAGTGTTCTGTGAAAGCGTGAGTTTTATTTATAAATAGTAGGTTTGAAAGCTAGTGTTTTTGCAGTTTTTCAACCTGCATTTCTGTGGTGTTTTTATTTGTTCGACTGTTTCTGTTTTGAAAAGTTTTAACTTATAATTTAGGGTTGCACTGATGCTTTGAATTATTATTAACGTTAAATTCTTTGTTGATTTATTTGTTAAACGTTTTAATTAAAATTTTTACCGGTTTTTGCTGTTTCAGGGGGTATTTGCCATGAATTTGTTGCCTTTCGAACATAATATTTGTTTGTTTGTTTACAGTGTTCTCATATTCTTGATATCCAAGGCCCGTGAATTGTTTTGTCACAAGGTACTGATTTTGACTTGCGTGGTAAACCGGATTTGATAAAATGTTATATTCTATCGATCTGATATTAATTTCAGTTTATTAAAACAAAATTATAACATATCATGTTTAGTAGGTTGTTCTCTGCCCCTGCTGCTCTAGGGTTTTTGAATGTGATCCAGTTGTGCAATGAGCCTTTATGGACATTCCTTTATAAGGGTCATGTCGTACAATCGTGCTTGGTTTTTGTCAGCTTTTTTGATGAACGACTCAAATCTGAATCGAATAGCTGCTTGGTAACTCGTTAAAAGTTGAATGATGTGACTCCCTGCTTTTCATGCTAAATCAAATTGCTTCTTGTAAAGTAAGATTTCTAGGAAACAGTGCAAATTTGATTTCTAAAAAAAATTCTGGACTCCAGCAACTTCCTGATTTTCTCTGAACAGTTGTCGGTCTTAGATGTGCATAGCACCATCAGCACTGAATTTTGTGAATATAAACTTGGAAATATTAAGAAGTCTAAATCGGATTATCAGAGCGCAGCCGTCTCATTATTATTAAAACTGTTTCTCATTTACCGTTAGTGTAAAACGGCACTAAGCATGCTGTATGCACACACAGCACTAGCAAATTGGTCGATGGAATGCTTGACCGTTTTTGATGTTGCGGCTCGTGTCAAAACGGTCCTTCGTCACTGTAGAGAGGTGGGTTAGCTTTGGAATTCCTTTTAGTCCTTCGGAACCAGGAAGTCTTCTTTTCTAACTTTTGTCATCGGTGTGTTCAGCTTAACTCATATCTATTTCAGGTGAGTGGTATACGTTTGGACGCACGATGACAACCAGTGAAGGCCGTACCTTGCTTGTTGATGCAGCGCGCAATTCAGGAACTTCCATCGAGGAGTCTGAAACGTACTGTGATTTCTTTCATTTATTACATGATTAGCAGCAAGAAAGACAAGAAATAAATTCTTTATTTAAAGCAGATCTCGTTTCCATGAAACTGGTAAACTTTAGGAATTTCTTTCATATTTTTCTTTAATTGAGATATTCGAATGAATAGAATCCTTTTGTTTTACTGGAAAGTTTTTCCATTGTAGATATAAATAATTTATAACTTCCCTGGTTGTTCACGACGTTAATTTTATTTATTTACTGGGCATCATGTTATTTTTCAGAAATGATTTGATGAAGTTTGGTGCGTAAATATGTTTTTAATATCTCTGATGAATTCAATGTCAGATATGAATTTTGAAAAATATTCTATAGTTTTCATTGTAAAAATAGTTCTGCCGAAGGTTAACATTTAATAAGTGAAAACGTCGTCGAAAAATGATGAGTCTTCATCAGCGTGGTTGTTTTGATTCATCCCCGGTTTAGTTAAAATATTTCAGTAGTTGTCGTTTTTTTTGTAATTGCGATGTAATTTTAGGCTTTCGCACCCTTTGGTTAAAGGAGCACTTACTTTTTTGGTGGACAACATCACCGTACACAAGTAAAACATTATTCTATGTCGATAAATTATTTTGATGTTTTTGTGCAATGGATGGAAGTTGATGGATAATGGATGGATGGAAGCGGTGGCACAAAGGAGTGTACAGAGTTTCCTGTTTAAGCAATTCTAAGAACACTAGGTTGCAATTATCGAATGCGTAAAGTGAGATATAACAACTTTCATAACTTTCTGCATCTGTGTAACTTTCAGCTGATAACGATGAAAACGGTATCCATGGAAAAATGAGCCCAAATATAAAATATGGTGGAACATCATTCAACCGTTCCGTGTAGCTAGTCAGCGAATAGTATGCGCATTAGTAGCGTTTGAGTTTCAGAATCAAACCACTCGAGTTCTAAAATTTTTTTCAAGTGATAAAGAAGCTTTAAAGCCTGGTCATATTTATTACTGTAGCAGCTGCTGTATATGCTTCAAGGCAAACCTACCGAATATTTTTATGATAAGAAACTGCTGTTCTTATATAAGTTTATGCCTATATGTATATTATTTATTAGTATCGAGAACGGGGGTGAAGAAGAGCCAAAGGAAAAGGAGGAAATCTTTGTTCCAGAGAAATTGAAGGAAAACTTGAACGCGCAGCTGAGCATCGTTGAAAAGACAAAGAATGGGTTTGCTCACATGTTTGCAGTTTTAGTGCTTCAAATGCTCACCGTTCATTTCAGCGTACCCTTCTCGCACGCCGCCGGTATGGCCGAATATCTTGAGGTTAGTACCCACACGTAAAAGTTGAAAACACGAAACCGCCAACTGACATCACACGATTGGCAGCAACAGTACGAGCAGATCATGGTCTGAGCGAAATCAACCTCGGTGCTTCCGGTACAATGCCATTGTCGAAAAGTTTCAGACGCTGGATGATGGAAGTACTGGCGTTGTAGTGACGACACTTTCCACCTCACTGTTCCGGAAACTGCAAATGACAGACTGACGTCGAGACTCAGGAACGCCGGTGATTTTCGTTTCCAGTCCGGTAGTTACTGGTAGACGTTGTTAAACGTCGTTGCACAGCCATTTTGCTCATACGCTACTAACCGAGTGTTGTGTTCTTTTCTGATCGCCTCTGCTAACTGTTCGTAGCTGTCTGTCAACTCGTTTCGATCGTAATTCTGAACCGTACGTGGCTCCTATTTTCCGTTGGCTGGCAATCGATTGTTGATCTTAATAACCAGTCCCACTACTGATAAATCATCGTTGTCGTATCATCGTGATTTATTTGGTTAATTTCCTGAAAACATGCTGCAAGGCAAATTTATAACATTTTAACTTTATGTTAAAGACATACTGGTACAGGTTTCCCACTATAGAGGCGGATTGGGGGAATTTTGCTGAGGCGTAAGGTCAGTTACAGTGATTGATAGCAGGACTTTTAACTGAAGGAAAATTTAATTGCGGATCTGATATTTGACCCAACGAATGAAAGTTAACAATTGACCCTTGCGATTTGTTACCATCATCCTTGTTGTTTGATCATCATGACGTTTCCTCATTGTTCCTAAAGAAATTTGTTGGTCTGGCGGGTATGAATTACGGACACTAAACAGTTCTTCAGACTGGCTGAATGTCTATTTGGCGGACCTCAGTTGCTGGAAATCAGCTTTCTCAGAAAACGAGTTGTGACCCCGACAGGGTTGGTTGCCCCTTCTATGTTAAATTCTACGCATCGATGCTAGAGAAATCTATACCTCGAAGAGAATTTAAGAGGCCTCGATAGGAATACTGTTTTAGAATTGTGTCGATTTCATGACAGGATGAAGGTCTGTGACGTTTTGGCCTTTACTGTTAGTCACTGTCAATACCCAGTCCTTTGGCACGGAACTGCTTCCTAACGCTGTCTACCAGTCTAGGCCATAACTTCCCTTTCCACTGTCACTGAATGAGAACGGCGGTCTCATTGTCAGCCATGAGATATGCGCTGAACTAAGTTTCACCCAGCCTAACACAAGGCTGTCCAAGTACTGTCACTACTGAACGATGTTTACATGATCTTAGCCCATTAGTTCTCGGCAGATTCGCAGCTCTTCATCACCGAAAGCCTAAGCTGATTAGGAGAAGCTACTTAATGAAGATCAGAGGTTTCTCTGTTACCTTCTCTGACTGTGAAAACTCCCAGTACTTTTCCACTTCAAAAAGTACTTATTTTTCTCTGGTGCCTTGTCTACCTTACTTAGTGTACTTTGATAAGTGAACGATTGTGACGAAAACAATTATAAGGTACTACGACGAATCGTAAGCCTTTCTGTTTGACCTTTAAATTTAAATTGGAGCTGTTGAAGATAATTCGATTCTAAAAAGCTTGCCATCCAAACGGGAGCTACCACACCAAGCTGGACACATTAAAGGTGCTTTGATACCGTGAGATGAAAAGTCGCTACGGACATTGCTCCGGATTGATCAGTAGTAGCACACTCACCAATCCGTTCTAAATTATTTAACTATTGGTAAAATTGTTTATTCACAAATTATATGTCAAATCTAATTTGAAACCAGTTCCTGGACCCGCCTAATCTTTATTATGGCAAGAGCGCCATTTGCTACAATTCTTTTACTTTTAGATACTAAAGAAAGTGAAGCTGTCCTGTCAATCGTTTGCTGAAAAGTCTTTTTTGATCCGACAAAGCTTTGAAGCGCGCATACAAGAAAAATGTAAAGAACTACAGGACTTGAAAAAAATGAAGTATAAACTGCGACTCTGTTTGCTATTTTTACTGGCAGTAGTTGCTTAGAAAACTGTCTGCACTGTTTTGATCAGAATGCCAGTCCGATTTTAGTGTTATGTTATAATGTTTATTGGGAGTGGTGAAATTCACTCACTCATGTTCTCTTATTACCTCAAATTTCAGTGACTTGCGGATGTACTTAGTTGTTTTCTTTCCATTACCGGCGAAACGGGATTATCTTAACTCACCGCACAGCCTTATTGAGACAAACTTGTACATGTCAGTTTGAATTTTATTTTATAATGTTATTTTATTATTCACGTATATGTTGTTCAACTTATAGGCAGGAAATCATGCGCGATGCTGAACTTCTTGGCTCTCATGCTGCCCACCAGTATATTTTGCAGTTGGACGTGGCGGAAGTTCGCAGCGAAATCGATAATGTCTCATTGCTGCAAGTCATGAATGACGTCGAGGTTGAAACATTTAAATTGTCACGGACTTTGTGACTTTGTGAGATTATAGATTCAAAGTAATGACATGGCATTTATAGCGAAGCAAAATTTGAAATCGACCGAAATAATATTTCAATATTATCAAAAGGTATGTTTATAATTTTGAAACATTAGTTTCTGACTGTTTGCACACTGAAGAAGCAACAGAACTATTTATTTAAATAGTTTTTTAAACTCATACCGATTTCATGGATTACTAGAAGCTGATGTGTCTTCTAAGTTCCTGCATAGCAGCATCAGAAATGAGAGAAATTCTTTAATAATAGCGATCTAACATCTTGATCTACTTGACTGCGCTAATCATTAGGACGTGAGCAGAACGTGCAATTGCAACGTGAGTTGATGTTTGACGTGTCGCTTTAGTGAGGCAATTAATTAAGATTCACGCCAGAGAAATGTCAGCAGAGGTGACGTAATCGTTAAGAGTACTGTGTTGATTGAGTGGTAGTGATGTAGAGCGACTCGTTGATTAAGTGCTTAATTTGGATACAGTATAGATCGATCACCTATGTTTTTAAACTCAGGATAGTTTTCAAGAGCGCGAGTTAACAAACCTATAAAAAACTGCCAGAGTTACAGTTGTTAAGGGCTATCATGTGTCCGCTATTCTAGTTTCAATGATCAGCAAACCTTGCCAATGTAAATACTGTCGCAGTCATTACACTGATTTGATATACGGCATTTTTTGTTCTCTGTGCTGGTGCGAGGATAAAGCTGTTCAAACTTTGTTTTTAAGGCATTGTTCCTACGGAAAAATGTTACATTCGTAGTCTGTAAAGAATTGTTCAATTTTTGGAAATCTAGCTGAATTATAAGGTGTCCAAGTTTGGGAATTATAATCAGAAAGGTTGGGGGGGTCCAGAATTCTTTCGTATGCTTATCTTAAACAACTGTTTATGAAAAAAGCTTAATCTCATCCTTGGCAACTAGTCATACGTAAATTATCTTAAAGCCGTATGATGGATTTCATGATATTAGTCGAAACAGACGTTGAGGCGCAAGATGGGGTTGTGCTGATGATTTTAGATTTCGCTTTCTATATCTATAAATGAGGGAAAAATATGGCGTATTATTTTATAACAATGTCGAAAAATGTCAAGTGATTATGTTGGTGATCCAAACTGAATTTAATTCCGTCATTTTGAATTTGAATAGGATATGTTGACTTTGTCTTATGTTACTCTTGTTTACTTTAAATTTAATTTTGATTTATTTTATATTTGCCGTAACCAACAATCTTTGGCATGATGTTGTTCAAGCAGTGATACTTGTAACTTATATGATGTTATTGCTGATCATCTGAGTTGACACTGTACTAGACGAAATTTTATTAAGATGGATTTTCTACCGTAAACTTCAGTAGAGTCACGCAAGCCGTAAGATAACACCGAGGTTTTGTTTGGATTTCAGGCTCTGTCATACTGATATCATTATCTGAATCCGAAAGATCCGGACCTGTGATTAGCAGCAGTTAGCAGCACCAGTAATACTAACTTCGCCCTTAAAAATATATAGAATACAAACCGAAACATAATAAACTGTAGAATTTTTCTAAGGAAACAGTCCTTTTGTATTTCAAGTAATCAGTATTTTCGTATGTTTAGTTAGACTTTCTTGGTTCATAGTTACGACACAAATTTAAGACAATGATGATATGTCTTTGTATAACAGTTATCCTTACCATCGTTATTTTGCTGTGGATGTCATAACCAGGTATCAGTATCATGAAAGTGTTCGGTTGAATAGTTGCAGGCGCCGATTCGGTCTTAAATGACGTTTACATATGTTTAATTCATTTTCAGTATAAAACATTTTAGTATCGCAGACTTTTCGTTTCTGCCTTGGAGAATTTTGTCAGGTGCCAGGCAGCTTTGGATGATATCCTGTCAGACCGTGGGCCATTGAAGTAATGATCGCAATTTAGGCATGCATTATTGCTGTCTAAGTGCTTGTCTTCAGATTCAATAAGTCGTCCGTTCTTGCCATTAGTCACAAAGTCAAAGTCGACTGACTATTTTTCATGAGCTTGGAATATGCTGAATCTTAAAAAGATCTTTTGCATGTATCAGTGTCTCACTGTAAATAAAATGATTTTTGACTCCTTCGTCGCCGCCTTTCGTCCTTTGGGTCATCACTGATAGGTACACTGAAACTTCCTTGAAAGAAACTCGATTTTTAAACGATTCTTTACTTAGAAAGGATTAAGGTCTTCTTAGTTTTTGCAAACCATCAGTGTGTACTACAGACTGAACCCCCACACAGGAATTCCCAGTATTTTCACACTTTCAAATTCATTTTAAACAATAAATAACTAAAAATCGCGTAGCTTTAAAAAAGATGACAAGAAAGCGTTCGGGAAAGTTGAAAATCTCTTCCCAAAATTTTTGCAACCAAGCGTGTCGTTCAAATATCTGACTGCGAACGGAACGAAGGATGTTCGAAGCATCATTCGGCGACTTGACTGATACGGATCTGGCATTGTGATGCCAGACATTGTTAACAATTGTGGAAAGGGGAACTCAGCACTTGTATTGCTGTGTTCTCGTCAACATCACCGTTTAACATGCAAGACAGCAGCTAACCGACATTCGGTAGGCAGTCGAAAAAGAGCAGAGGTAAAAGTGCAGCAAATAAATGCCCACCGCGTTATCGTAGTATTCGCTAAGACGTAGAACAGCAGGTCAAAATACCGCACAGCATTGCTATCGCACGAACAACCAATGCAACGGACACTAATTTTCGACAACTACAGCAGGGTAGCGAAATTTGTAAAAGACTTAAAGTTCGCTTGTAAAAGACTTAAGGAATCCGCGATTCTGTGGTATATCTGAAAGACAATGAACTGGTAAAATAAAACTGTTCAGTTCTAAAAATTTAATTACGCATTATAATAGATCTGTAAGAAACTAATAGGGTGCTTCTTTTTCAATTACAAAAATGCAAATTACGTTGCTTTGGTTATGACCGTACAAAAAAAATGTTGCGAACAGCTGGGGGAAGAGGGTAGTAACACGGTGGGTCAGTAGTTCACTTTTAACTCTAGATTAAAGAAGACGCCTAGTTCAAACCCAACGCGCGGAGTAAATTGGCTGTCACTGCTCTGGTAAAACCGGCTAAAAATAGGGTTAGCAGTGATCACTGACTGAAAAAATAGATAGTGGGTTGTAATAATACCAGAAAACGACATACGGCTGTGGGCTGTGTTCAGATGTATGTACTGTGATTTATCTCAACTAACTTGATTCTGATTAAAAATTAGCATAAGGTATAAATGGTAAACAAACAAATAGACAGCTTATCTGATCCTAGGAAAGATTATTTTAAAAATAGAAAACCGGTATATTAAGAATGAAAAAAGTCAAAAACATGGACGGTACAATATACTTAACTGAGTAGTCATGACTAATAAGAGCCGAAAGACGCATGGGTTTAATGCAATTTACTTGGGTAAAATTGCTGGCTGAAAGGAAGAAGCGTAACCGAGGAGGAAAGAGGCAAAGAATTCGAGCTGAAAGCAGAAGAATCATGGACAAACGCGGTAGCAGCCCTACGACTGCGCAACGCGTGAATAATAATATAAACAAAACATCGCTAACGTAAAATCTAGTAAGAAATCTTTCCGCTTAAGATAGTCAGATGCCCCATTTATTTAAGATTATAGGGATTTAAAAAAGATCTCGACTTTTAACAGTTCACAATTTTTACTCTACATTCTTCTAATTTATATTCTGCGATACGGTCAGCTTTCGATCTGTTTCTCCCACGTTGTTCCCTGATAATGAGTCAAATGAGTCGGACAAGTTTAGACGCCACTTAAAGAACAGATAGAAAGATCAGGCAATGCCGTTAACGTTGACAATCTTGCGCCAGTGTCTGAGTGTCGACGAGAAACATCACAAGTATGAAGCAAGTCACTGCCGCAATTGCTCCAAATCATTCTTGATCTTGCTGACGATCTTCTGCCTAACAGTTGAGCAACAAATAACTGCTTGAGCATCTACTCTAATGGCATAAGTAGAACATGTCAAAATCGTTGTGAAGAACAGCAGGCCGTTTTCAAAGATCTGCTAGATTGCTGAATTGTGTAGTCTACCAAGAGGCACAGACCGGCGACTTTTTTCAGGAAGCATATTTCGGCCGCTTGTAATAGTGATCATATTTTCTCATTTGACATGATCCTAAAATCACAATTTCTATGCCCCTCTGGCACAGCCAAAAAGTATCACCACACAGGATCTATTTTTGCTCTGATTAATCAGCAACGCACAGGCTGTTGAAGAGCGGAAGCAGCCTATGAAAAATTAGCTCCTTCCATTTAACCCTGTAGGACTTGGGCGTGGCAGAATCACAAAGGGTGTGGAGACTCGTCATGGTGGACGTGGTGCCAAACAGTAACATAGTTGAGGACGCAGTATAGGAAGTTAGGAAAAGTTTAATGTGAACAATGAGTCAATCATGACTTGTACCCATATGTGATGAGGAGATACGCATACGCTTTAACAGAAACAATGAAATATGACTACATGGAAAAATACACACAGATGACTTGCCTTAACAAAGCTTACTCACATTAAAAATTCTGCGGACCTGTCCGATTTGGCAAGATGCTGGGTTTCATACCGCTTAGCTAAAAGTTCAAACAATTATAAAGATAAGATTGCACCGGGAAGGCATTTTGAAAAAGCATGCGCTTTTCAGAATATCAATTACCTGCAATGACGCTGTCCGAACATTTGCTCGAACGTACGGCGGTCCGTATTTGAGGTGCGGGTCACCGCCGTCGCCATCGTTGTAAGTAGGCAGCATCGAGACATCAGAGGCACTATTCAGAGCGTATGACCGTGGTTCATAAGCTACCGGAGGCGCGGCCAACCTCAGAATATTATCTCCGTACTTTGGGTCTAAAAATGGTGTGCGAAATGAATAACTTTTTAAAACGACCGAAGAGTCTTACCTTGTAAGGAAATAAACGGCTGTAGGCCTACGTTGAAAGGGGAGGAAGGTGATCTCGACCTCTTTAGCTAAATATAAGCAAAAACGTGCATTACAATCTCATTTCTAACATACAACCATACAAACCGTAGGCAATGATCAACTGGTATCTAAGTTTCGAGCTCAGAGACGTCAGCTGAAAGACTACATTCCGTGGCAAATAGTTACTGGCACGGAAAAATGCTACCGCCTTCTTGGCGCGTTGAATTACAAAACAGATTTCTGCCTCCGTGAACAACACATGGGACAGGATCATTAACGGGACTGGATATAATTCTTAACATGTCTGCTATATGACTTGATTATCTGCACGTACATAATGCGATTACACTGAATAAGATTGTCTTTCAAAGCTCCGTCGCAGTGGCTAAACGTTTAATCGAAGAGAGCTACTTCGTAACTTTAGCCAATGGGACCGCGCCGTTTTGCCACGTAAAAATAGAAAAACTTTTAACACTTGCAATGTCTGTCTCCATTACATCTTCATGACAAGTTCTTTCCTGGCACCTACATTGTTGCATTATCTCCACCACAGAAGCATCAACAATAATACATTGCTTTATCAGCAATTTCTACAAACGGATGCACTTTACAATCACGAATCTTTCTCCTCCTCTCTAAGGAGTATGATTCATTTACCTACATGTGAAGAATTGAATGCAAGTGGTTCTGCGAAGTAAAGAGATTAGGAAGAGAGGCTCCAGTCAACAGTTCCCTCGAATCGGTAGTACCCAACAATAAGTGAATTCCTAGTATCCTTACTGTTGGCATTCCAGAGGCGTATCACAAAACACCTGGACTAATAGCCCCTCTCACCTTGATTATGAGATGACTCAACTCAACAGTGTCTTCCCACTCTAAAAGGGGTCATTTTCAAACAAAGACCTACTGATCATCCGTGAAACGGTGAATTTCGCTATCGATACATATCAGCCATACATGCATGAGCCGCATTTAATCGTACAGACAAAACTTCGCCCAGCTGTCAGTGAGAATTCCTTTCTAATTCAGGAAAACTAAATTAGTACATGGCCAAATTGTGGTATAAAATTGTCATGAAAAAAGCGGCGTAAGTAAATGACAAAACACATACCGGGGACGTCGGAATGCTCAAGGTAGCGGGATAGCAGCCTGTATGGGGAATCACACCAAACTGGGCATCATTCATAGATAACGGCAAAGGCAGCATTCCCGTCGTTGGTCTGACCTTGGCCAAAACTTCGCTAAACATGTTCACGTTCAAGAAATCACAAAAGATTTTGTAACAAACTTAAATTCCCTGTAATGCTGCTGTTGGGATTGCATCAGACGACGACGATGCTCTTCCTCTTGATTTAGCACCTTTTTCAACTGGGTGAAGAGATCGTGTTTTTCTTGCTTTAAGTCGCTCAGTTTTTTCTCTAGCTCCCTTATCTGTTAACAGTTAATGTTAGAAGTGAAAGTATGGTAATGACAGAAAGTGTACCTGTTGCACGGTTTCTTCTAAGGTCAAGCTGTCTTGTTGTTTCTTTATTTCCCTTATTTTTCGTTCCTTTTTAAGTGCTTCATTTTGAGCCGTCTCTAAAAATTGAATAATTAAAATTTTAAACTTTTGCACAGATCACCTCCTGAGACTAATCCCATTCGGTTTAGAGATTGATAAAACGTTCTGTTTCTCACAACTCAACAAAACGCAGAAAATCCTTTGAAAGTAGTGATATTAAAAAAAACAAGGTTTTCGTATTGTTCAACTGTTCTAAAAAGCCTAGGGATCCACTTAAAGAGGCGAATCAATGGTGCAATAGCACCTGCCGCACATCGATTCAAACCACATCGTTAAGTGGCTTAAAAAAATTTGTCGCAATAACAATGACTTTCTCTCATTCATGGATCAAGCTGTAAAAAGTTAACAACCAATTCCCCATCCACCATATAAAATGCTAACAGTGTCACATTCACAAGGCATATAACAAAGTCGAAATGTCTCAAGAGGCGTGAACAGAAACCCGTAGCGATGAAAGTAACGTAAGTGGCCAAATATTCACATGTTTCTTGTGTTGCAGAGAAGAGCTTCGATAAATTTTCCTCTTCAAGGAAAAACTTTAGCTTACGCACATACCTGCTTCAACAGTTTGTTGTATATATATCACATTTTTACGTGATCAACTCCTTCAAAACTAGACTTCAAGGGAAACTGCAGAGCCCTCTTCTTCCTACAACTAATGGAGCAGTTTAACCAGGTGAAAGCTCCTGGTGGCGAAATACTAGTAGTGGTTGACGCACCTCTCTTGATCAGGAGATTTTGTCTGTTGCAATAGCTGATAGGCACTTAGGAGTAAGAAGCAAGAGGCAATGAAATTTGATCTTGGAAGAACTAAGCCAATCATAGTCGGAGTATGAACCTTACGTTATCGACGTGATATCACGGTCTAGGAATCAATCATATTTGTAAGGGTAAACTGCCCTTGTCCTCAATGCCGTTCCCCTTCCATAGATGTCACATCACGTCTGCGGAACCAGGAACTACATAGCAATTAAACAAGGCACATCGAATCACAGAACAGTGTAACAGGATCAAAAGACTCCGGAACAAGAAACAATTGGATAGGAGCACAATTGGCGAATAAATTTAACCGTCAGTGTCAAGAAATTGAAATTACGTTTTGAATCTACTGTAATTAGATTTATCACTGGGTAAAACGGTTGACTAGATCCAAAATACTGATCCAATGTAAATTTTTTGCACAAAAAAAAATTAATTAGAATGATCTTCTTGAGATCACAATCACCAACGGCCTGAACTGATAAAAACTGGGGTCGCAAAAAGAGGTCTCTTTGTGTAAATTCAAGGATTTATTAACACTATGCTGATCATATTGCACGAAGG